GTTGAAAAAATTGAAAAGATGAATGTGCTGTGATGGCCGAGTGGTTAAGGCGTCTGACTTGAATCTCGATATGACAAGCAATCAGATGGGTTCTCCCGCGTAGGTTCGAATCCTACTCGCAGCGTTTCTTTTTTTTAATAACATTATTCATTTTTTCGTGTTCTGCTATACAACAAGCCTCCTGAGTTTATTGAGTCAGACAAGAAACATGCAATTTCTAAAGATTAATTAAGCTGAATATTGTTTATACTTTTGATTAACAACGGTGAGAAATCGACAAATAGTAATATTGATATTCGACTAAAAATAGATCAAATCAGAAGTTTTTAGTATTTGATCGTAATCAAAGTAGTTTAAATATATTTATATATATCTATATATATATGTATATAGCTATGAATTGGTTCGACTCGTTAGACTCTTTAATGAGATCTATTCAATGGATGTATTCTCATTCACATGAATGATATATTAAGAGATTTGATTATAGGACAAAAAAAAGAGATAAGCTATTATAAGGCAATGATTTCACTATTACGTTCAAGTCGTATGCAAATTTTTACAAGGGTAAGCTAAAATTAAAGATCAAAGGATGAGGGTTCTTATGCGTCTATAATTAATCAACGCCGGAATGATATGTTCTGACGAGCCCAATATATTATATATAAGAGTTTTCTTGGCTCGTGTTATAAAAATTCATGTCATTGGAGCGTTAATCCTTTTTGAAGTTTCTCTAGTTGATTTAAAGAGAAAATCATAACTCATGATTAACATATCTCGATCACAAATAAAATTGAGATCTGAGCATTGGTTTTGACTTCTTCATATTGTGGACTTAGGAGTTAGTATATGAGCTTTTTCTTCCTATCGAAGTTCAAAGGTCTGATGAATTAATTTTTTTGCATTTCAAGTGAACTAAACATTTATTATAATCACTGAAAAACATTTTCTTTAAATCTATATGTGCATAACAGATATAAAAAAACATCGAAACTATTTTATTTTTCAAAGAATATTCTCGTTTGTAAAATTGTTTTATCGATCCTTTTCTTTGAGAAAAACAGACTAATAAATATAGCAAAAAAAAATAATTAAAATTTTTGTTTTCTATGTGCATAACATCTCTGTAGTTTTTGACGTACTTTGTGTCGGTAATGAACAGTAAGCTACGACGGGTGATCGATTTCCATGTTTCCGTCGTTTATGCTGTTTATTCAATGCATTGGTTTGTGTTCCAACGGTAATATGACACGAACTAGGAGTATCTATCGGTATTTTACTTTCATCAGTGGTTGAGTCTTGTTGATCACATTGTGATAATAAGTTTGCTGTAAGACCTGATGTTGACGAATCCACAGTACCACCACCACAACCGCCACCACCACCACCGCCGCCATCACCGCCGCCATCACTAGCAGCTACGCTCACACTACCTACATTGGACAATTCAGTCATTCGATTTAATTGTACCAAATGTGAAGCAGCTGATGTTCGTATCTGAAAATCAGTTTTTCGATATTTTGCATTCAGATTTTTAACATAACATGTTGTAATACGTTGATTCAGTGTACTATTATGAGGTAGACAAAGACGTCGTTTTGTATAACGACAACAAAGTAAATCAATGAATGATGAGCGGAAATTCTTTGACATAAAACCATAGAGTATAGGATTGGTACACTAAAAATAATCAAGAAAAAAACAAAACAAAGAACAATAACAATATTTTCAAAGGATTTTGTTTTCCATCTTATTACATACAGAATTAAGATAGGCAAAAACATTAGCAAACATAGTTAAAATATCCATGTAAGTCGTAAATGTATGACTCATATTTCTCGAAAGAATAATATTTGAAATAAATAATAATTGCATAAAAAACCAACAAAACGCATAAGTTAGTATAACAGCTAATATCATGCGTGTCGCACGACGTTTACTTTTTCCAACTGATTGACCATGAGATCCGCGTAAAAATTTTAACATCAGCCCATAGAGTATAACAATTATTGTTAGCGGCAGTGCATAAAGGAATATGACAAAACCAATCCAATATATACTTGCTTCTATAGGTAGAATTTGAGTAGGACTATTCGTTAAAAGATGATCTGTATTATTCAACAATGAGCTACTTTTAGAGTAATTCATTACTTCAAGATGAGGTGTATTCTGTGTTATCGATGTATCGTGAGAGTCTCCTTTTAAATAACGTAAAAGACAATACATGGATGTAGGTGAATCATCATCTCCAAATTTGATGACGGTGAATAATGAGCCGATAATCATAGATATACAAATACCAATGAACCAAAGAGCCCTATGAAGAGAGGAAAAAATAATTAGAAACTTCATCATGCAGAACAAAATTTATGTTTATTGGTTCATAATACCGCAAAGTTCTTTTCTCTTAATTTAAAATTTCTAACTGTAGAATACTCAACAATAACTAGTTCAGACCTATAATTGTCTTTTTCTATTCGATTTAATTGAAAGAAAAAATATATATTTTAACTAAATTTAGACTTCATTTTGTTCTGAAATATTTTTGCGGATTCGTTTTGTTTTTTAGAGCGTATAACAAGCATTTAAGGAAAAACAAGGAGAAAGACAAAAAAGTAATTCATACATAATAGAAACTGTCGTATTTTTTGTTGTCCGATAACTTGCCATCGAATCAATGGCATGTACAACAGCAAGATAACGATCAATTGACATAAATACAAGTAAATATATACTCATAAAAGCTGATAAATGATTAATGAATTGTGCTAAAATAAATAACAACATTAAATTAAAGAGTAATTTGACATTTTACTTAAATAAAATGTGTCTGCTTTTTTCTTGATTCTCATTTAATTTACCTAATTTACAACCGAAATTTGCAAAAGGCCAACGACCAAAAAAGCTAAATAAAGTCGTAGGTATACAAACAATAATAAACAGAACATCGGCAAGTGCTAAATTAAATATTAGTAAATTTGTTGGAGTTTGCATGCCTTTATTTAATCCAATGCCAACCAATACTAATGAATTACCAATAAGACCAAGAACAAAAAACGTACTAAATAAACATATTTTCAGTATACCATATTTAAGTTCATCTCCCATTCCATCACCGCTATTGGTCCCTACTGATGTAGTACCATTTAAATGTGTGTAAGCATTCGAATCCATTTGTTTTAAACAAAAATAATAAGATTAAGTTAAAATAGTTAAGTCGTATCTTTAGACATAGGCAGTAATTATACTTCAAAAAGAAAACATGAAAATTATATTCTAAAACAAGCAAGAAAAGAGTTGCAATTTATATTCTATTATTAAGTAGGCAAAGTCGAAACGTAATTGCTAACGGGAAAATAATGATGACTGACTGATATAGAAATCGTTAATTTACTAAAAGTGGTGGAGAAAAAAGAGTGCCAGATTTTTTGTTCGTCAAAATTACAAGATATGCACCAGCGCCATACAGAACGTTGGTTCTAATTTCATTAGAACGCTGCGCGCTATGATCAGAATAGTCTTATTATTACAATGAAAACGACATAGCAGCGATGGCGAGGGTTGGAAAGAACCAGTACTAGAAGAAAAGAGCCACTGTAGAAAGAAAACAAACGGTTCGTTTGTTGACTGCGTCACAATACAGAACACAGATTTGAACATTCTTACAACTAGATTTTTATCGGATGGATTCATAATTTGACATATACCTGATATACACATAAATAAATACATGCATATATTATATATACGCGCGTATGAAACAATCAATCGACAAATAACATCTGGATAGAGTAAATCTGTATTGATCATTTGTTACATTCAAAAAAAGAATAGAGAAACAGAAGAGGGATAATTAGATTTTTACGGCTTCTATAAATCTATGAGTAGTCAGTTCTCATCACGAAAACAAGATGGTTGAGCGAATAAATAATTTTTCTTTTTCATTGTTCGCTTTGATATACTCCTACTATGAATGAACTTATCCTTTTTTGACACATCATCATCTTATGGATAATTAAAGGTTTTTAATAAGAATATATCGAATGAAGTAATTTTTTGAAAAACAAGGCGTTTTTTGTGACCTAAATCGTGATTAGAATATTCTTATTAATCAAAAAAAAAGACGGAAAACGAAAATTGATATACTACCTCCATATAATATAACTGTGTTGACTAATATGGTGACAGATTATCAGAAGAAAATCTTCTTGTCATCTGGCACTCTTATTCTATTCTCTAATGAAGTAACGCAAATCTTTAAATTGTTTCCTACAAACTCATAACAACATTCAATATATATACTTGCCAAGAAAGACAGATAGAATATCGATTAGTCACAATTTATAACAGAGAAGCTTACAAAAGAACAGGTAATGGATACACACTTATGTATTACTGTTGTTCTACTAATGCATCTACGTATATACTAATAGATATGAGTCGACAATTATCAAGTTGAATAACAGTAGAAACAGAACTGATAGTTTATGCCAATCATCCATTTATATGACTTTTCTCCATATCTCTTATTTGATGACTGTGTTTATATCCATTTCGACATATTGTTTGTATATATATTCATGCACGCACGCATCATCACTGCTAAAAGATGTTATTTTTTACTTATCCGTGCATTTCTATCTCGATTCACCGTTTTAGCCAATTGTTCAAATGGCAGGCAGCTGCTCTGACGCTATGATGATAATGATGATATGAATCCGCTTTTTTTCTTCTTCTCTTGATTTTACTCATTTTAATACACGAGGACTTCGGACGGCAACAGCGATGTTTCACATTACTTAAAATTCCCTTTCGGCAATCTAGAACGAGTGTAAGAGAACTAGTTGAGGATATTATTATTGTCTAAAGACGGACTAATGAAATGAAAACAAACAATATTCTGGAAAATAGATTATACATACACAATATATAATTATGCATACATAATACTTTCATAGTCGACATTCAACGAAATGAATACCCTCTTTTATCAAGTTTCTTTTTTTTTTAGCTCAGCCATATCTAGGATGCCTTTTGAATGATTATCTGTTATGTGATCATCGTAGACAACGCTTAGCAAGCAAGAAAATAAAAGCAATGTATCTAGTAGAAAGAATAATTCAATAGATATGTTCTCTCACAGCATTCTTCCTTTCAAGCAATTACAATGACGACGCTGCTGATTGAGAGAAAATTGTCGATCAGATCATATACATGATTTACGCGAGAGGATTAATTTAAAAGCTAATACTCTTCGTAGCAATGGAAAATTATATTGTTCTTATTCATATAATCGTCTATGTAGATATAAATTTTTGTCTGCCTGCTAGTTGAATGAATTAAATAAATCATTGGATTTAAGCGAACAAGCGTGGGACAAAAAAACTGACACTTAACTGCTTATCGAACAGTCTAATTAAATGAAATTGCCTATGTGGATGTGCGAGCGTGTTTTTTGTATGTCTACTTTTGTTTTTGCTCGTCTTCTGGAAATCATACAAAAGATAAATATGCAATAATCATGTTCATATTAGTGTTTCATGCGTCTTTTATTTTTTATCGAATGACAAGATGCGTCCATGTTCTGATTATCTACTTAGATACAAAATAACAAGAAATATGTCTTTACACATGCAGACAAGAATGATGCCTACGTTTCCTGAAGAAAAAAAAATTCGATTATCGAAATGACAAAGACAGCTCGTCACTAACAGTAGAACTTCATGCTGCTATTCTTTTTCTTCTGTATATGCAAATGAGACACAACTAGTTTTGCCATTTTGTTTTCTTCAGTATGCATGTTAGAAGAAACCATAAGCGTAGCAGTTCACTCGTGGAATGCAAATGAAAGTAAAGAATAAAAACTGAGATCTGCTACTTTTCTTTTGCCGTGAATTATCGGTTTGGTTCCTCAATCTCGTTTGTATGCATTGATTTCTTCGTTGATTTCTTCGATAGTCGTTCATCCTTTCTTCTTCTTCTTTCTAGTGAAATATTTGTTTTATTAAAATAACAAAACTATTTGACAACTTACTCGGAAAAATCTCGTACATTATATTGATCGATCAGTAAATATGATAACTAGGTACTAATTCATTTGAATAAATGAGTGCAATTTTCTTTTCTAAATTACGTTTCTCTTATGAATCGTTTTCCCACTTCATGATGAGAAGTTGAAAGTGTTACGGGAAAAAAAGTCATTCATCACTTCTATAGTAATGCACGATATATTCAAAAATGCTGCAAACAAATAGAAAACCGGAGTTCATTACAAAATGTAACGATCTAAAAATGATGTGAGCGTGATTAATAAGAGAAAATAACTATAGCACTAAAGAATGATCTCAGATTTTCATCATTGATCGTTGCTACTTGATATGAATAAGTTACTATGACTATTAAGAATCCACAATGGCTTAAACTAATGGCGGAAATAAAATCGATAATTTACGATAGAAGTTCGTTTTCTTTGAGTAATAAAGGAATACAAAACAACAACATTTCTATGAATGGCAACTAAGAAAACAGGCTCAGAGTAAGCCAATGAATATTCTATTTCGTGATATCAAATGAGTCATGTTCATATTTACTATGATTGAACTATTATGAGTCAAATAGAAATAGGATCAGTTCAAGTTCAACGAAGCTCGAATATTTATTTTTAATTTACTATACGAACAGCTAAGCTAACATTTTGTTCTTGAGACGCAAAGTAAAATCAAAGAAACAATTCGCTCCTGTGTAGCGAGAAAAAGTTAAGTGGCTTTTAGGCTATTTTGAATAAAGTTAAAGTAGTTATTTCCATTATATTGCGTGTGTACTTATCAAATAAAAATGCTGATTTCAGACTTAGCTTGAATCAAATTAAAAACGTAATCATCGATAGAAGTCCCATGGCAATTCTAAGAATGATAACGTCGTAAATAAAATAAAAAAACACATGATAACCTTTTAACAAAAGAAAAAATAAATAAAAGAACGTATTTACCCTTTTCTCATGAAATCATACGTGCGTAGTGATGCCATCTGTACAGTTGTTGTAATGGATGATTTTTTTCAGACGTAAACATTGCAAAATGATTCATAAAACTGCTTTTATTCTAAACACACGTATAGAAACTGACTACCTATTTACGTCATTATATGTTGACGGAAGTCTCTCAGGTTCGAAGAATATTATAGAATTGTAGGAAAAGTAGTTTCATTATGGAATTCAAATAAATAAATATTTCTTTTATATTAATACGAGTATAAACATTGCTTAGAATAATTAGGATCTATTTATATATAGAAAAGCATCTAAAGATTGCATTTTTTTATTTCAATTAAACAGTAAGTTAACATATATCGAATACAGACGCTTAGCTATTCAACGGCAATTAATAGAAAGTAGTGTTTTCTACATGACTTTGTTTGTGTCAAAAAAATGTTGGGCAAGCAAGTGAATCCAGCTCGTTCTCTTATTTTTGTAACAGGGGAAATGTTTTTCAGCGGCAGATTCTGCATGACATTTTCCTCTTCTTTTAATCAATTGAAAATATCTGAAGACATTAAAATTCTTCATTTTGTTTTTACATGAGGGGTGTTTGCTGTCAAAAAATAAATGTGATTCTTTCTGTAATAACACTATATTGACATATGTTATGGTTTTCAAAAAAAAGAAACATTTCAATTTCATAATGATATATTTAACTATGAATTACATTATTAATGAATGTTTAAGCCTTACAGTAGCTTTACGAATATAAAGAAAATTTCAAGAACGATATGTTACTTACCTAATATGCATGGTTTACATGAGAATATGATTTGTTTCTAAGGGCAATATTTTTCTCGAGAAAAATCTTCTTTTGTTTTGTTCTTTTGCTAGAAGCTCATGTTTAACCGAAGTTGCCATCGATTGTATCAACAAAGTTCACATTTGACGTGTGTGGTCTGATCGTATGCGCTTGAGAATATTAAATCATGTTGAATGATGACGGGCAGTGAAACAACAATACTCGAAAGAATTTAATGAAAGCAGCTACTTCCTGAAAGCCTAGATCGAGTAAATATCAGGTTTGATCTGTTCATGCATTTGTCAAGTGCGATCGATCCTATTGCTATTGTAATCAGTTAGGTACACACACTGATCATGGAACGTAATACATTAATAGCTTACTATTTAATATCAA